CCTTGAACACGAAGGATGAAGAGTACAGCCTATCAGTACTGTGGGAAACTGGAAGCAAAGACCTTGATTAGTGACACCAGGGCACTGACTAGGGGCCTCCCTGACACTGAGTTTGGTTCACAATGTCTGCTTAATGCTTCACATGGAAATACTAAGCACAGAGACCGTCGAGGTTCTTCTGGGGTCTGGTAAACTTCCTTTATCATCCTGTGTCACTGGTGTCTAAGTACCAGCCTTAGGGACTGCAGTAGTCTTTTCCTTCCAGTCTGTCTAAAACATTGCAGGTATCAATTTTTAAATGCCATATGCACAAATAACTTTGATACAAATTAAAAATATAAAAAAGGGAGTGTATCCATTGGTGAGATAAATAAATGCGTGACTTCTGGACAAAAACATTGCCTTTATTTATGAAATATGTACGAAAGTAGTATGGTCATAGTTAAGAGCAGAGACTCGGATGCCTGCCACTTACTAGCTGTGTGTCTTTGGACAAGTTACTTAACATTTTTGTGTTTTGGTTTCCTGAAAAGTAAATGGAAAAAAGTTAACAGCACTTATTTCATCAGGCATAAAGATTAAATGATACTATACACACCACACCCAGACTCTGTCTGGCACTTAGTAAGTACTCAACAACAGCGATGCTGCTGATGGGAGGCTGCTCTTCCACTGCTTGCAACAGGAAAAGAGCACTGCACACAGAACTTTAATTTTGGAATCAGAAGACAAGTTCAAACATGGACTTTAAAATGTAAAAGTTTAAGACCACAACCACTGCGGTAACCCCTTTATGCTTACATTTTTTCACATCTAAAACAGGAATATGAATACCTCCCCTTTTCAACATCTGTCTTTCTACCCACAAACATCAACTGCGGATTTACTATATACCAATGTTGTGTAGTGGCTAAAATGGAAATATGAACAAGGTAGACTTCTACCCTAAGGAGCTCACGGTCTAGTGAACAACACTCAAGAATCTTAGTTTCCTTTCACCTGAATATTTCTTAAGGCGCCCTTTGCTTTAGGAGATGAAAACAGGACAAGGGTGAAGCATGTGTCTTAGTACCACAAGTACTATGATTTTTTTAAAAAAGGCAACACTAGTATTGTTAGCAAATGTTGGGGGGAAAATAGCTGAGTTTCTGAAATTACTATATTTTGCTATTATAAGAAAAATACTATGAAGCAGTCGGGTCATTGGGAAGCAAGTCCCTGCAAATGATATGGCATTCTTAGGAATGAGGGGACCAGAGAAGAGTAGGCCCCTTTTCTGATCAAGGAAGAGAATAAAGTATCTTGGGGAGACTGAGCTTTCATCACAGGCTGGGCTGTGTAGTACACAACTTGCCTCTTTTAATGATCTTTTGAGACCTGAGTGTCCTTTGAATAAATAAGCTCTCAGGCCACTGTCTGAGAGGGATCACTACTATGTGATCCCTTGTCAACTACATCCATCCCCTTTCAGAGCCTCCTGCCTTGGCACGTAGGGGGAAAGACTGTGGAAAGCAAGTTCTTGGTATCTCTTCTACGCCATCTCAAAAATAAAGACCTTATCCCAAAGCTTCTTATTGGAGGTGCTTATTTTGATCATCTCAGGTGAGCTGGCCCTGGGACAACATGTTTTCAAATGTCAGTTGGCATTTAATAGCTTAAAATTGTACATTTAAAACCTCACAGAAATTATAATTGCATCTTAGCTTATACTTGAAACAATATTAAGTACACCAAGATATGGGGTTATCTTTAGAAAGTATGTAATTATGCCATTATTAAAAATTAATATTCAGAATACATTCCTTTATTGTATTAATACATACGTAACTACACAATGCAAAACAATGATATATATTATTTAAAATCATGTATTTGGCTCATAATTAATGTAGACTTATTACAAAATCAACTGGATGGTGGCTATAGACACACAAAGAATGATTCTGGAGTCTTTTGTATATCTGTAAAAAAAATTCTAAAAACCAATATAACTTAAATAGAAATTAAACCAGAGCTAAGTGAAAATTATCCAGCAAAAAATGCTAACATCTATCTTGTTTTAAGTTTCAATTGGATAATAAGTTATGTTTTAAACTCTTTACATAAAAATTCTAATACCACCACACATAAATCATAAGTAGAACAGATAGTATATTTTTAACCTAATCACTTTTTAGACTCACAGTAAAAACCTATTGCTTATAGAAAATAAATTCAACAATTTATCCAAACATTGTTACATACGAAGTTTTAAGAAACTGTAAATAATTCTTAATACTATCGTTTTGATTCTCCGTCTTTTCAAGACTATGTTGTATTTCTTTCAAACATACTTCCTGATGTTGTGCTTTCTAAATAAAAAAAGAAATAAAGATAATCAATAATGACATTCATACCAAAAGTCATAATATAACATTTATATATACAATAATTGACATGATTTTTAATTTTTTAAAAGAAAGAGTCCTAACATCTGATGTGTTTATTAATAACTTATCTTAGAGCTCCCTTTTCTTTAAAATCCAGAATAACTAAAGCACATACATACATGGTTGATATTTACTGTGATATACTTCATGGTAATACACATTCATTAGCCCCAAACTATTACATATTTAACATGATTAACTTAATAAATGGGTTTTATTTAAAACTGTCACTATTAATTTCTCTTGCATCTAACATGACATTTTAACACTAGTTTTTGCCATTTTCTCTCCCTAAAAATTCATATTTTGTATAATTAAAAGGAATTTTACTGTCTTAAAAATGGACAGAATTCTAGTTTTGATAATATAAACATTTTATTTTTAGAATCCTTCATAAATAAAAAGAACTCTTTATTTGAAGAAAAAAATTTTAAACCTAACATATTTTTTAAAATATTCAGTTGCATATAAACTTTGCTGTAGATCTGTTCACTAAAAATATTTTGGATAGACAGGCAGCAAATATAATTTCGTTTCCAACTAAAATGTAGGCACCTTCAGAAGAAAAATATTTTATCTCCCTCCCATCACGTGTTCAGTAATACTTGATACCTTTTGAAACTGAACAATGCTCAATGTCCCTCAGGTGGAATAGGTGGTATAAAGAAATGTGCTAGGCTGGGCTACACAAAGCCCCAGAATGAATATAGTGAATCTTTGTGAAACATCAATTTTACTCAACACCTTGAAGGAAAAAAATACTAATACAAATACACACATTGTTGGGTAGAATGCAAAATGTGCATCCATTTTTGGATACCACATTAGGCTCCAAAGTCATTTCAGGCTTCAGGAAGGTTGGCCTAGGTTAAGCTGCTGAAGTCAGACCCTGAGTCTGCATCCACTCTGCCCCCAAATGGAACACTTGGGCAAAAAATCTGTAGAGGCCTGCTACGTGGGCAGGACACTGAGGCAGACACCAGGATACAATCAATTATGAGACAGGCTCTCAGTGCTTATGATTTAATTGGAGTTAAGGCATGTATACAAAAATAAATATTGAACTGCCCATTGAAAATCATTTTTCAGCAATGTCTAAATCTATGCTTAGAATTCTAGATTTTTACTGCTGTAAAAATGATCAGGTTTAATAGAACATCAAATATTAAACCTATTTATTTTGGCAGCTTTAGCCAAGTACTGGAAGCATTATAGCAAAACCCATCTCATCTTAGTGTACTTATTTTATTTTTTTGTAAGCTTTCACTATACAAAGAACATCACACATATTTACAATATCAGCAACCCTGATTGTGAGTAAAAAAAAAAAAAATAGAAATACAGGGAAAGCCTATGCTAAATTGAAAGTGAAAAATGTTTTGTTCTGATTAAAATTGCCATGGAACTTTTGATGGCAATAAAATTAAACTAATATTGCATGCCAAAAAAATTATTTAACTTTGAACCTTCCAGGTTTTCAAATTTTTAGACACTTGGGAATGAAAAATTGTTTTCATGGAGTCTCCAGCTCCTGGAAAAAATAAAGTTTCATTATTTTATATGTCATTGTTAGGTAGACAGTTTTCAAGTGATTTAGTCATGACTAGTGCTGATTTTCATAGTATCTTTTGCCAGTTGGCTATTTCATGAACATTTAGGAAAAAACATCAGGAGACTAATTAAACACAGCCAATTTGGTAATCTCATTTCATGGTTGAGTGGACCAAAGAGCATCCATCTCATGCAGCTATAACAATACTAAGTATTTACTTAATGACAACTTATAACTTTCTAAAATGGAATATTCATTATTGAAGACAGGTACCAAAGTCTAACTCATAATTGTTTAAATTGTATTTATCTTAAAAAATGAAAAATTTATAACAGAAAGAAAATCAACAGATTATATCTGTAACTTTCATTAAGCAGTTGTCATGTAAAAGTAATAAGTAGAGAAAGGGCCCGATGAGACTTTAGGGGAAATGTAATAGAAGCTACCAAGGATGGGGATAATAATTCTTTGGCATAATCCTGACACTTTTAATTTTTGTGATTTATATTATTTGTTATTTGTAACAGTATCAGTAAAGTAATGGCCCTGATTTCCCTCACTTTGTACTTTAACTGTTTAAGTAAACTAACATGGTAAGAATATTAAATGCTAATTTATGAAAATACATAAGCCATACTAATACTTACACTGTTTATTTTGCAAACAAGTTGATTTTGTTCTTCATTTTTCTTTCTAAGCTCAGTTTCCAGATCTAATATTTTATTTTGTAAAGCCCTCTCTCTAGATGACATTTTCTCTATTTCTTCAGAAACCTGTAATTTTCATTAAAAGAATAAAGTAACTAAATGTACTTTCTTTAAAGTATAATTTAAAACCTTGCCTGGCTGGGCATGGCTCAGCGGTTGAGCGTCGACCTAGGAACCAGGAGATTGGGGTTCGATTCCCGGTCAGGGCACATGCCCGGGTTGCGGGCTTGAGCAATGGCTCTCTCATCATTGACATTTCTATCTCTCTCTCTCCCTCTCCTTTCCTCTCTCTGAAATCAATAAAGATATGTTTTAAAATAAATAAATAAATAAATAAATAAATAAATAAATAAATAAATAAATAAATAAATAAATAAAACCTTGACATAGTTATACTTCTTTTTTCCAAACAGATATTAATTGGATGCTACATAATTTAATTAGAAAGTGTTTAAAGTTGTTCTACATTAAGGAAGCACATACAGTATAAGAATCTGCAAAATGGCCTGAGATATGAGGTGCATGCATTTGCACGGCTCTGTAACTTGGTAGGTTTTCTCCCCAATACTGTATTTTTATACCCTCTGAGACCAATTTCCATTTTAGAGTATTTATATTCACCATGGTGTCTAGAGTGGTGCTGGAATATAGAAAGTTCTCATTCATTGCTGATTATAGACTTGGATGGGTAGAACTGGGGGCAGGGCAGGTGACATGTACACTTCATACACACACACACGAGATTGATTTTTCATTCATTCACTTTCAAAGTGGTCTGAATTTGAGTTCCTACCTTTTTCTGACTGCCTATTTAATAGAAAGTCTGACTTAGCTATGTTCATACAAGGATTCAGATATGTGGGAGCCTATTTGCAAGAATGTTGGGTTGGAGCCACAACAATGAGAATGGAGGCAAGGACTAGTTAAGGAGCAAGGAGCTAGAGGGAAGGGCTGTCCTCTAATCTAGCTCCTATGGACTCAGTTCTAAGTTATTATAAAGTGATATACAGAAATGTCTTGCACACAAATTCTAAGGGTGATTGTAACTGATGACTGAGCCATACTGGAAGGATCTAAAGCTGTGGGAGAACATGTCCTTGACCGTGTCCCGCAGCGTGGACAATGGTGACAGTGCAGTGACAGCATGCCTCATGGACAGCATCTGGAGACAGCCCTACAGTCCACTGCAGCAAGAGAGAAAGGAAAAGGCACACACATCTCTGGGGACTCTGAACACTTAAGCAGGAATCTGAAAGTATCCAGCATTTCCAAAGTCCACTTAGGCTGAACCCAAGATAAAGTCGCTTCTTATTTTCCTCCCAAAGATTGAAGGCACTGAAAAATCTGGATTACAATTCTACCACTGGCGGTACATTTTACTACTTACCTTTTATTCAATGATGTGTCCTTCAATATCAATTTAAATTGGTTTCCCAGAGTTAAAAAAAAAATTATATGGCACTTGTGATATAGAGCCACATATCAAGGATATCAGACTTTACCTGACTCTTGCGGAGCTGCCATTAACAGGCTTTGGAAGACCATGGGTGGAATAGAGTTCAGAGGGAATGATTCAGAATTTGGTGTTGAACATGTTAAGTTTGAGATGCCTCTGTTAACTGGAGATATCAAAGAAGCAGCAGAATATATGAGTCTAGATTTCAGGGGACAGAGAAGTCTGGGGTGGAGATAGATATCAGGCTATAGGGTACTCTCTTTTTAGCATCATTCAATCCTATGAGGCAACTCATCATCCCTATTTTATCAATTAAGAAACTGAAGTTTAGAGAAGTACCTTGTCCTGGGTCAAGGTATAATGTACCAGGGACAGAATTCAAATACAGTTCCTGCTGGACAACAAAGCCCAGCTCATGTTCTTTCAGGATTACATTTTCAAATCATTTCATACATTTACCTCTTCTCTGAGATCTTCCTAAATCATTTCTCCTCTCCCCCAGGTTGAACAACCTTGTACTCTCCCCCTGTTGCAGCACCTACATGCTGGATGGCATTTGCTTGTCCACATGTTACCTCCCTCCTGGTCTAGGAGTGTCCTGAGAGCTGAGGCCAGGTCTTACTCATCTTTGCATCTCAGGACTAGCAGGGGCATACAGCGAGATATTTATTAAATGCTAACCAAATGGATTTAATTCTCGCGTGTATTTATGCAATGATATTTGCCAAAAGAAAAGAGAGTTGAGCTTTACAGCTCACTGGATCCTGATCAAAACCAAAATGTTTAATAATTTGCACATTTGCTTTGGTTTTATTTTATTAAAAAGGGGGGGATGGGAGTACTACTTCAAAGTGTTTTCCATCTCTGCCCCTTACCCTGCCACATCATCATTATCTGGTAAAGTAACTCTGGACAAGTAAGATATCTGTTTACCTCCAAAAGGCAAAAGTAGGTAAAAAACAAAAATGTAATTGCTCCCTTCACCCTATCATCAAGATAAAAACAATAACTGTAGGTTTGGCAAGATGAGATATTGTTTAAAAAGAGGACTCTTTGGTAAACTAATTAAAAAGTTTCTAAATAAAGGCCATCTGTACCTTCTGTCTTCCTTCTTCTAAAGCAGCTTCCAGCTGTCTAGCCAACGCTGTGTATTCTGCAGACTTCTCTTTAAACTTAAGATTGCTGTGCTTAAGACATTCTTCCTGGTTTTCCAGCTTCTTTTCAAGCTCTTTATTTTCTGCATCCATCTGTTCTAATTTTCTTTTTACAGAAAATATATATTTTAAAATTATAGTGTATAGAGAAAAATGTAACATGAATTTTAAGTCAATTTAGAACTTACTGTTTTAGGTTTTCACACTTCAACTGAATAAGACAATTCTCCTCTTCCAGAGAAAGCTCTGTCAGAAGACTGTGATTTCCATCAAACTAAAGGAGAAAAAATTTTTTTCTCAGTTATTTTCTTTATAATCAATTTCTAAAGAAATCTATAAATCTTATTGCTAGAACAGCATAAAAAGGTATAAATATTATTATTACTCCTACACAGAGAGACACCAAGAAATATTACATTGTTAAAATGCAAGTTCTCAAATTTCTGGTTAAGTTTAAAAAAACAATGCTGCCTCATGGAAAATCATCTACTACAAATTTTTCTGAAAGATGGCAATTAAACCATTCTGAAAAAATGTTTCATTGCAAAAGGTCATTATTTTATTATGTAAGTGTGAAGATTTTAAAAACTGTAGAATGCCTAGGGTTACTCTTATAGTTTTTTTGTTTCACCTAAATAGTGATTAATGATTGAATATCTGAAGTTGTAACTATGAGTAAAAAATATATTTGTGAAAAGCAAATTAATTTAACAAGGAAATCGACAAAAGATACATTTGCCTATGCCAAGACAGAATGTTCTTCCCATTGCTTCAAAACGCTGTATTGAAATTGTTTCAGAAGCTTTGAAATTAAAAGGAATTTTTTTCATAATTTCAATTAGTAACTTAGGTTATCTATGTAATTTGACATTTTCCTAGAAATCTCTTATCAGGAATTTAAATTCAGCAAAGTTTTGCTAAAATTGTTTTGCAAAAATGAAAAATACTTGCTACCATCCTTGGACATGCTTCTTTAAAAAAAGTACTTAATTAAAAAAATATATTTATTAAGTGCTCACTGTGTGCTAGGCATTGAATTAGAAGATGGCTATGTGGTGACTAACAGGGCATCCTTGACCCCTGCTCTAATGAAGTAAAAAATATATATGTCAAAAAAAATTGGAAATAATACAAATAAACTTGATGTACAATTCTAATTAAAATAAATTCTAATTTTAATGAGATAATTACAATAATTAATCTTATCTGGACATCAAAAAATAAATATGCAAACATAGCATTGCTCCTTTTCTTATGCTATTACCATGTCCTCAAATGTCTAAATATAGATTCCTACAAAAATAAACTAAACAAGTAATTCTAGTTACAAAATTTTTACCATAAAATACTAAAAGAATAGCTTGCAAAATAAAATTACTGTATCTACATAAAACTGGTATTGTATCAACTGATTTAGACTGGAGTAAAATAAATCAACCCCTGACATGAGTGCCCTCAACTGGTGAAATCATTCCTAAGAGTTTAACACATCTAGCAAAAGTGAGAATGCCGGTTGGACCTGGCCCTGAAGCTCCCTAATGGTGTGTGCCTGGTCTGCACATTTCCCCTGGTAGTGCTGCAGACTCTCCTGACACTCCTGAAGCCTCCGTTCCGCCGCCGTCAAGGAATCGCGGACGCGCTCTAACTCCTTCAGATGAGACTCCATCTGGCCTCTCATCTGAGTTGTAGCATTAGGGAAATAAGTGTAAGATCACACATTCAGCATTGATGTTTTTACTCTCTTAAATACTAAATACGCTTATAATATGATACACATTTTAGGTTAATGGTTTTAAACAAAAAGATTCCACCAAATAAATATGAATAAACATTAAGTTAGACTCTGCTAAGAACATATAACTCAAAAGTGGGCTAGACTTTAATTAGTTTTCAAAAAGTTTGTTGAATACATGAATATAGTAATATTAGCTTGGAGGGAGAATGTTTAACCTACTTTGGAAAAAAACTTTTGAATCCTGCCATTTATATTCCAGCATAGATATTACTGATAAAGTTGGTGTGGTAGTTTTCCACTATCCAGCCTTCAGTCTAAAGTAACTGTCACTTTCTGTCATTCAATCCTGTAACTCATATATTTCAATTAGAGCAGCCTTCTGCACTCATCTTAGTCCAAACTGGTGAGGTTTACTGTATATTATTTAAAGACAGCTAATATCATCAGTCCTCAGTAGACTATTTGATCATTAATGTTGTTACAAAGTAAATCTCTTTAATTTTCTCTACATTAATCTCTTTGGCTGCTGCAGTTCCTCACTGTAGCACTTCTGTAGAGATATGACAAGAAGCAACCCTAAGATATGCTTGTACTATTAATTAAGAAAAAAATAACCATTTAGGATGTTCATAGGGAGGAAAAGTGAGAGCTACCTCCTTCCCAGACACAGGGACTATCTACTAAGCAACATCTGGCATTCTTAATCGCAAAAGATAAAACTAGAACAAATCACACCTCCCAAACATCTAAGAACCCATGAGAAAACCAGGAGACTTAAAACAGTGGAAAAGTAAAAGGAAAAAATTTCATTTAAAAAAATGACTTTACTGATTTAATACCTCACAGTATCTGAAAAACTCAGGCTCCTGCTCTCTCTGCCTTTTGAACAGATTTTTAAAATAGGCTTTTATTTATAGTGCTTCCTAGCAAAAGAGAAGACATTTGCATTGGTATGTCTCATGGGAAAAATAGACCTCGAGGCACAAAATGATTTCTTCCCTAGTGTGCTAAAAATAGGAAAAGTAATTCTAAGAAAGTGATAAGTTGCCCATTTGATGGGTTATCTACTTCTGTCTAACCAGCAGAATGCCTGCTCTTGGCTGACCTCTTCACACTGGTACCTCATTTGAACTTCTTAGTCCCAAGACATGGAGAAAATCCAGAAACAGAGACTGTATTACACTCAGTTGGAACTGAACAGTAACACCCCATGACCTCCCTAGCCAGGAGCTAGCATCCCACGGCTTTCACTGCTTCCTTACCAAAAACATGAAAAGACCCAAAAAGGGATGCGGTTTCATTTAAAAACTTAAAAATATTCACAAAAACATCATAACTTGCCAACATTGGCCTTCCTCTCATTCTGTTGCAATAGGGTGGAAAAAAAGGAAATGATGGATTTTTTTTTCTATGACATTATTTTTCTTCCAACAAAGCATTTGGCAGAGAATGTTTACTTTGCCTTTTTAGACACAAAAGATTTACTAACAGAAAAACAAGGTGAGATTAAAAATGGGAGGTATTCAAGTTGGCATACTTATGGTTGATGAAGCTCAGTGATAACCATTTTTTTTAGCTATGTAAGTCTGCTCTTTAGTAAAAAAAATGTTTATGCTATTTTCCAAATATTAAGGAAAAAGTGAAAAAACATTCATACAAACAAACACCATTTCAAGCCTGGAAGAAACATTATTTCCTCAGAAAACAAACTCCTACAGAGATTGAGAACAGATAATTCCTAGGTCTAAAGCAGAGAAAATGACCACAGTGAAAGATATTTGTATAATATTCATAGAGTCTAAAACAAAAATATTATTTTATTATTTAAAATGTCAACTTACCTTCTCTAATTTTTTATTTTTGTTTTTTGCTATTAGGTTATTTTCACTTAGCAAATTTTCACATCTGCTTTTCACCATTTCAGCTGCTTCTTGCAACTTCTGTATCTGAAAACAGAATATCAGAGTAACATGTATTACTTTATTATTAGGACCATAATATGAAACAAAAAGCTAAATATTTGAATTTTCAATGTAAAACAAATCATTATTTCCCTATTAACAGCTCAGTAGGTTTATCTAAAGTTACTCCTTCTTTATCTGTGGGAGGGAATCACTCAATGCTCTCCTCTAATCCACAAGCCATTTATGATTACCCGTCTTTTCCCATTGATACTTCTAGACTCTTTATCTGAGCTCTGAATATTAGAGAGATCTTCATTTGCAGATCAATGCCACTTCAAAGAATTAGCCTCTGTTTCAAACTAGCTCCCATAACAATTATTTTACCCTCCAAATCAAAATCTGTTCAAAAAGTATCTGACTGAGCACTTTATGCAAGGCCCAGCACCTAGAATATGGCAATCTGCCTAAAATATAACTGAAAAGGGATTGAACCCAAATAAGCAGCTGGGGTGACGTCCTCATCATGTGACACCAACCACCATGGCCCCCATTCTTACCTCTGGCCTGGATGACTAACTGGATGTCTCAACTCTTGTTTTCCCATCTAAACCACTGGGATATAGCCCCTTCCTATTTACCTACACTATGCCCCCCTTAAGCTTTTACCTTTAGTTCATTACTCTTTAATTCAAATGTTCTCATCCAATAAAATAAAACTTTTTATTGACCAGTTTGTTACCAGTCCATTAATGGACCTGCATAAATCCCACCTTTCTCATGAAGTTTTTCTTGAATTCTAGATTTCCAAAGCATAAGCTTTTCTATAAATTACCATTGGACATGTGCTCTATTCCATATATATTGTCATATGTTCCTTCCAGGTATTTCATGGGAGCAAGTCTGAATTATACTTTATTTATTGGGAAAAGGGAGTATTGGGCTTTAATGACCCTAGAGAGGAATCATTATTCTAAATCAATACCATTAAATATACAAGATGACAAACAAATATAAACAAGATTAACAAGATTATACATAAGGTTTACATTACATCTATGTAATTAATTTTAGGCCTACTTTTAGAATATCCAACACATACATATGCAATGAATGTCTGAATCAGGAATCAGCAGAATCATCTATTTATAAAAATATTTGGGATCTTAAGAAACATTTGGGACAAGTCATGTTCTATCACAAATAACAGCTCCACCTTTCTTCAGTTCTATTTGTTTAGATCATAAACAAATGCAGGGTTTTCAACTATCTACGAAATTTAACAAACATTCAAATAAATGCAGTGGTCACCTGAGCTTTGTACACTTCAATGAGGGTTTTCTGTTGTTTTTCTACTTCTTGCAATTCTAAGAGCTCATTTTCAACGGAAACAACCTTGTCCTTCAAAGCAGCAAGTGTAGTCTAGCAAGGAATATATAAATAGATATTATAAATCATTAAAATTCATTTGTACTCCAATGCTATAGGATTTTAAAAACATAACTGGTTTATCAACAAAGTTAATAATTATTTTTGATTGCATATAATTACCATCTAAAAAATTGAGAAATTTCAAAAAGACTTATAAACAACTTTAAAAGACTTTTGCAAGACATATTTTTATAACTTTTATAATTTAGTGACCAAAAGAAAAAAAAAACGACTTGGAAAATAGACCAGGTTTCTAGATGGGAAGACACATACCAGTTTTTTCCAAATAGGCAAAACTTTAATGCAATTTCAACCAAAAGTATAACAGTTGGGGGATTGGAAATATGACAATATTGTTTTAAATTCATATGAAAAAATAAATAGGAAAGACTAATGAAATTTTGAAAGAAATACTAAGTCTATAATCTCAGTACTTACCAGATATTAAAATGTATACAGAACTAAAATTAACATACTAATGTAAGAATATAGAGGTCAATTGAACAGAAAAAGAAAAGTGCACTAAAATTATATTTAGTATATGACAAAAGTTGGATTTTTAAATCAATGGAGAAAATATGTATCAGTAAATAATAGGAATACAATTGTTTAACCATTAGAAAAAAATAGATTTACCTCCACCCAACACTATTATTTATATTTATTAAAAATAAAAAACAGACCTGGCCGGTGTGACTCAGTTGGGAGGAACATCAACCGGTACACTGAAAGGTAGTGGGTTCGATTACCAGTCAGAGAAAATACCCAGGTTGCACGTTCATCCCCAGTTAGGGAGTGTGCAAGAAGCAACCAATTGATGTTTCTCTCTCTCTCTTCTTTCTTCTCTCAAATCAATAAAAACATATCCTCGGGTGAAGATAAAAAACAACAACAACAACACAGACACACACACACACACCAAAAGAAGCTAAAAAACTTTCACAGAAAATTTTATTGGATATGAGGATAGCAAAAACCCTACTAAGCATTAAACCAAAAGAAAGTATTAAGAACTGTAGGGATCTGAGATTTTAGCCTCTAAGTTTCCAAGTTATCTTAGCACAGCTTCAGCTGAAAGATACAAGACTCCTAGGTCAGAGATACAGGACTTTATTACTCCCAGCAATAGCAGTGGCCAGGTATCAGCATTTGTGTTAGTTTCCTAAGCCCCAGTTCCTACAGGGTAACACAAAGAAGGTCAGATGACACCTGTACATGTAGTGGGATGCATTACAGAGGAGCAATGATGAGTTTAAGGAATTCAAATCTCTTATAACAGGTAGTCATCATGCCTATCCTTTGGTAGAAGGAAACATTGCTATCTTCCAAGCATTGCTCTCTCTCTCTCCAAACTGAATGCTTACTTCAGGGTCAAGGAAAGCAGCAAAGAGAAGAGCTAGGAAGTCAGTGTAATGACCAGATGATGGTGGCTTGAACCAGGATAAACGGCAGAAAAGTGGTCAAATTCTGGGTGTGTATATATATATATATATATATATATATATATATATATATATAGATTTGTTGACAGACTGGAAGCAGATGTGAGAGAAAGGAGTCAAGGATAACACCAAGTAATAGAAAGGATGATTGCCATTAACTGAGATGATGAAAGTGTAGGAGGAACTATTCTGAGGAATACAGAAGGTCTGTTTTGGACATGACTTTGAAATACCGATTAAATATCCTAGTGGAGATTTCAAGTAGGCAGAATATATGCATGGAATTCAGGGGAAAGGTCTAGGCTAGAGACATAAATTTGAAAGCCTCTAGGATATAGATGTTATTTAAAGGCCCAACACTGGATGAAATCACCTAACCACTCTGGAGAAATTTGTTTTAAAATTGCCTAATATTGCCAGAAATATCTGTTTTAACCAAACCTCTCTTTCCAGGCACAATTCTGCAAATACTTCTGATCTTGTAGAGCAGTAACAAATCCCAAATTTCAATCGAAATATATCTGAGTTACACTCTTTGAAAGGTAACTTTAACACTGCGATAAAGGGTGGCATCCATTCGGGTGATGGAAGGATAGGGTCAGTTGAACTTGTGTTGAACTTCTGAGGAAATAATATGTCTTCAAATAGAAAGAAATAATAATAGACACTATATGTCGAAATGAGAGAATCTCTAGAAGCATAGACATGAAACTGTGAGCAGTGGTTTTCTCTAGGAGATGGGACTTACTACTTTCTACATTTCTGTATTGTATGAATTTGTATAATGAAGCATGTATTGCTTTTATAATCAGAAAATGCAAGAAAAATATTTCTACTTTGAACAAAACTAAATTAAAAAAACAGTTATGAATGACTTTCACAAGCATGTATAATAAATAAATAAATAAATACATACATACATACATACATACATACATAAATAAATAAATAAAATTGCCTAATATTGGAAAAAGCATAGGGACCCATTTATGGTTGGTAATTTAGAAATATAAAACACCAACATTAAAAATGGGCCTCCCTTTGACCATGTAATTCCACTTCTAGAAATTTATCCTGAGAAGATAGATATGCAAAAATACTCAAAGAAACTTTTATTTACAATAGAAAAAAACTAGAAGTAGTCCAAAATCCCCAAAATTATATATATGCTAAAGTAGTAACTTTAGTTATCCTTGTTGTGAGGTTACAGGTGATTTTTAAATTTTTTCCTTTTGTGCTTTTCTGTTTTTCCAACTTTCTGTAATAAATAAATAGAACTTTAAAACCCTCAGAATAAAGTTGTGTTATTTTTAATAGAGGAAGTCACTGGGCCTCAGAAGCACTATTCCCTAGCTTCTCTTTCATTTGAAAAAGAAGTTCAGGATAACTAGTACACTGCATTCCCTAGTTGCCCTTGCAACTACGTGGGGCCATATACCTAAATAAGTAGAAAAGTCGAATGGTATGGAACTTTCACAAAGTCTCTCTAAAGGGGAAGAGATGGAAATAAAAAGGGGGGAATAATTCATCTTTTTCCCCCCCTTCCATCTTGTTGCTTGAAACTTTGCTACAATAGCTGGAGCTCCAGCAGCCATTTCAAGTCATGAGGACAAGCTTCACAACCTAGGAATGGCAGAGTAGAGAGCTAAAACAGAGGCTAGGTTATCTGATGCCCTATCAGCTCTGAACTGCCAATGCTGGCCTTGTTTTACATAAACAGATTTTTTTCTGTCCTCCAACAATAACATTGTGAAACTGAAAATTATGCCATCGCCTTTAGTCAAGTCTCATCTGGTCTGATTAAGAACTCAAATATCTTTTTTCTCAGAAAATATAAAAGCTTCTTCCTCATCTTTTCTCTGGTACACATACAAACCAATCACTCCTTGGATTTGATTAAGTTGGAAAATTCTTTCTGGTTATGAAGGAGCCAAGAACATACTTTCTGGTTTCAAACAGACCATGGCTGAGGTTATTATATCATATCGTAACCATGACACCTAGAAATAATCTTATTCATTAAAGTTAATGTAATTTTGGATGGTTCACTTAACTGCTAAAATTGGAGACTAAATAATTTATTTTAGGTTGAGAGAAAGAGGCAGTTATTTAACTTCTTAAATCTTATTTAACACTGCTGAAAACAATTTTAACATGTATCTTTGTATACAACTGTAAACTTAATACCTATATACAAATATGTGTGTGTGTGTATAGACATATAAAGATTTTTAGAAGTTACTTATTATAATAACACTTTAATACTCTGAGAAACATAAAGGACAAAACAATATAAGAACATTATTCTAAACATACTGTTATTTCAAGTTATTTGTACTAAGTAGACTAAGTCATCATTACACAAAACACACAGACACAGTACCTTTAATTTTGTATTCTTGAGATTCAGAGTTTCACTTTCACATTCAATTGACTGAAGTTTTCTAAGAATCTCTTCACATGAATTTTTTCCATGGTCCTCCATTTTCTTCAGGTCTTCCAAAAGATTATTGATTTGCCTTTATAAAATAAATGTTATATTTTGTAAAAGTTATTGAAACTTTCATTCAAATAAAAAATTTTAAGTGTTTCTGAAATTATTTTGGTAGAGTGCACTGTTTCGAAAATTAATAGAACTCATAAAACAAGAAACATAGGAAACAGTCGTCTATATAAAGAAAGTTACTTCCTAAGTAACCTTGATTAGAAATAACTACCCACTGATAATGCCAATGAAAAATTACACAACATTCTCTTTGCTAGTCCATAAAACATCTAAACTACCATCCACAGATATGTCTGTCTGTCTCTCTCATTCACACACATACAATTTCAGAACAACGTTAAATGAAAGGATCAAGTGAGGCAATAATTAATCTTTAGAAGCAAATTTTATGTGCTAGTTTTCAATAATACTGAAGAGAATATATAGAAAAGAAGACATTTAAAAGCAAATATGCAGGGTTTATTGTTAATCAATAATAAATTTCAGAGCATAAAATATATGTATTTTTACCACTGATTTTCTTTGTTATGCATTTTAGCATTTTAAAGAACAGTAATTTTTAGGATTTTGAAAGTATTTATGCTTTTATTATAGACTATTATACGTTCTTATACATTCTGTTTAGCAGAGAAATACTACTTCCATTTTTAGGACAAAGTTAGTGTTAACATTTACTACAAATAACTGATGACATATACTCAAATACCAAATATTAACTTACAAATTCAAAATTTTGAAATGTGACCACCAATGTACTTTTAATGGGTAATCATCTTTCTTGTATTTTTAGAGTAAAGAAAGTTATAGAACTCTAAATAGAAAGATATCCAATCATATAGAAAACATTTTTGCCACATGTAATCCAGAAGAACCAAAACAAACCACTCAAAGGAAAGAACTGAAAGCACTTCTTACTATACAGCAAAAAGATCTAAACTTTTTTCTTACTTTTTCATTGTTTCGACCTGAACTTCCAATTCGGTTTTTTCTATTACAATTTTCTCATAATGACTTTTCCAGGCATTGGAAGCTGAAATTGCTTCAGACAACTTGGCTTCCTAAAAAATACATCAAGTACTCATCTTGTAATTTAATAACACTTTGGTTTTGTACAGGGCCCTAAACACAAATATGCTATAAACAAGGAAACATCCTATAAAGCAGGGAACTTCTGTTACAGGAAATTTCAGTGTACAACTCTGAATATAAGAATGTTTTAAAGTAAACTTTAATAGTATCTTTATGTTACTATTATTTTATATGTCCATAGTGGCAGTTCCAACTTAACATTTTAAAGATGTTGCTGTAACTATTTTCAAACAAGGTTTCCTAATTAAGATAATTCCCTTTCTATTTATGAACTTTTCACTTTGCATTCTATATACAGAAGATATTAACAAGCACATAAGATTCAGAGGAGAAAGAAACCCTCTGGTGTACAGAGAAACTACCTGCAATTCCATAATTCCACAGATTTAATAATGCAGCCTTATTTTATAATGAAACCAAGTTGTTTCGTAAAGGTCACCCCCACGGGCCTTCACACACTGTTACTATGTTTGAGATGAAAGTGGTACCAGGGGCTTATCCACTTTGAATGTGAGCTCCCAGAGGTAGAGATTTGTGTTTGTTTTGTTCATTGAATAGTGCCTGGCACACATCAGACTTTTAATAAAAGTCAACTGAATCTATTCTTTACAAATCCAGTGAGCTGTATAGCCATTGTGCCCCATCTACATTCTACAGAAAAATTAATTTACTGGAATGACAACAGTGCCAATAATCACTAATCAGAAGATTCAGGAGTACAGCAGTTCCTCCTTATTTGCAGGAGATCGGTTCCAAGACCCCGAGTAGAAGCCTGAAAACACAAATAGTACTAAGCCCTATATATACTGTGTTTTTTCCTATACATCCATACCTATGATCAAGTTTAATTTATAAAGCAGGCACAGTAAGAGATTAATAACAATAACTAATGATAACATAGAATTATAACAATGTACTGTAATAAAAGTTATGTGAATGTGATCTCTCTCTCAAAACATCTTATTGGACTATACTCACTCACCTTTCTCGTGATGATGTGAGATGTTAAAAGGCCTTATTAATTAGAGAACTTTCACCTTTTCACTTGAAGCACTTTACGGCTTCTCTTTGGCATATCTGAATTGCCAACATCACTACTCTTGCACTTTGGGGCCATTATTAAGTAAAATAAGGGTTACTTGAACACAAGCACTGAGATACCACGACAGTCAATCTGCTAACTGGGAGCTAAATAAGTGACTACAAGGCAGAGAGGGCATACAGTGGGGATTTGCTGGACAAAAGGATGATTCATACCCCACATGAGACAGAGCTGGACAGCACAAGATTTCAGAACGGTGTGCAATTTAAAATTTATGAATTGGCTATTTCTGGAATTTTCCATTTAATAATTACAGACCACAGTTGATTAAGAGTAACAAACTGTAGAAAGTGAATCCACAGATAAGAGGGGACTACTACAGTCATGGTAACAGTTAACACTTATTGGGTGCTTTCTCCTTTCCTTCCATCACTCATCCAGTCACTGAACAAATACTTACTGAGCATCTACTGTGCACAAGACATTTTTTGTTTATATTTTTACAGTTATAATTTTGCTATAATGAAGATGAGTATTCTGTTTTCAAATTCTATGTAAAATGAATTTAATATGCACTATGAAGTGTACATTGGGTAATTATGTTATAATATAAATGAAGATATCTGGAAATTTTACCTATACAATAAACACTATGAAGAAAATGTAAGACATGATGTGATTAACTGTTGTGGGACTACTTCAAAAGGAGCGGTCATGGAAGGTGCCTCTGAAGAGATGTCAATTTAAAGATACCTGAATGATTAAAAAAAGAACCAGCTAGTGTGAGCCAGAGAACATTACAGTCAAAGGCAACAGCAAACAAAACAGTGAAAACAAACAGACTCCACGCATTAGAGGGGTTGAAAGGAGGCTAATATTGCAAACTGTAGTTTGGCCACGCATTGTGTTTTGACATACATGTTCTCATCTGTTCCTCCCTACAATCCTATGATATAGGCAGTATTATTACCCATTGTTTTATAGAGGGGAAAAGTGAAGCTTAGAGAGGTTAAGTACCTTACCCAAAGTCACAAGGTTAACAAGCAGAGGAGCCTTCCTATGCTATAATCTGGGGCCTGGGTGATGCAACACTATTTAAATAGGAAAACCCAAGAATGCTAATGACTTGATTGGTTTTTATCACTCAAAAATATTTTCAGGCACTCAACTAGGTCCACAATCTTCTAGATTTTTAACCTAGTCCTCAATTCTTTTATCTAGTTAAATTCTTCTGAATGTAGGTAAGTTAAATATTAGTCTTAAAATGTTAACACTTGAGCTTGTAAAATATTAAGTTGTTTTGTTTACATAAGCATTTGTGCAAGTCTGTTTTCACTTCTAAAAACCTCTAGTAATTCTGTAAGTCTTAACATAAGGTACTAAGAGGTGGGATACAGTGAGACACTAAAAAGTAAATATTTTATTAATTGGTATTTGAATAAATATATTAATTTGTTAAAAACAACAAAGCACTAAGTCCATTTTCAACTTTGTACTACACACAAAGATAACTTTCACATGGAGTGTTTACGTCAGAGAATGGTTTTAAATGCATCACAGAGTTTAAATGAATTACTGAATAAAGTCATATGGTCTAATATCATAAATCAGCATTTCCCAACCTGGTGTTCCTCAGAACCAGTTCCAAGAGTTGCTTTGTGGGTAAAAGAAGACTTGTGTGGTTAAGTAAGCGGTGGGAAACTCTGAGTTCAATACCCTTCACTCTACTGCTTCACTTTTACTGATGTCTTCTTGGGGCCTCTGATACGCTAATGTGCACTGTAAGTTTCCAAAGGGGAATCTGTAAGAAATGTTACCCTTAGCTGGTCATAGAAGCTTTGGGGCACACTTAACATAACCTATAAGTAAACTTCCCAAGGAAATGCTAATATAATTTAATATGTAAATTTGACATTTTATGTAATCTTTCAAAATAAAGACAAAAGCAAAAAACTGTGAGTAAAGTTTTTCTAGTATCAGTAACATTAAGAGAAGAATAAAATTATTAAGCACCATAACATTACTGTATAAACTAAGTACATAAAATACTTCAGTAAGAAAGAAGGTATTATACTAACCTGATTTCTAATCTGGGAAGTAAGGTTTTCAATATCTCCGGTAAAATGTTCAAGCCTCTGTCTATAAATTTTAGATGCCTTTTTCAGGGCTATAGCTTTTTGCCTACTCGATTCTTTCATTGCTACAGTCTCCTGCTTATTCTTTCGCAACTGCAAGTTCCATTGGGCTATCTTGGTCTCCAAGCTCTAAAAAAAATATTGGCAGCAATTAAACTATTTTAGAACTCCAATGTTTATGTAAACATTGCAATAATATGTAAATAACTTTCCACTTGAGGATATTAAAGGATTCATAATATGATTAATAAAAAACAAAACAGTGAAGAAAGGTGACTTCACTAGTGTTTATCTGTAACCAGTTATAGAATGCAAATTTAAAATACATAAGCCTACATAAAACTAATGCTGCTCTTACTGTAGTTGACAATATTGGTGATTATGGTACAAACACTAACTTTCTTGAAACTGTGGTGATTAACTAGAACTTTACATCTCGACTATTACACATAGTACTAGTTATTTTCAAATCAAAAAACAATAATTGAGCTCAAACAATAGGTACACGAAGCTAAAAGGAATTGGTAGGTCACCAAAAATATGATCATGAGGGTATGGATGAGATAAACAGATAGGCACTTACCAAATTTTAATTTACTAGAATTAAGGGGCTTGACACTTAAAAGAGTTCATCAAGGATAATAAAGTACGGCTTTACCCAATGAGTAGTGACTTTGTGGAAGTTATTATTCTAAGACCAAACGAGGTTACATAAAGGAATGATTACCAGGTCCATAACAGTTAGGGTAAAGAGATGTCTGAAGGCATGTTTCTACCTTGAGTTTGATGGTATTAAATAGCACGACTGTTACCTTGACGTATCTCTTGATGACATAAGGAGAGAGGATATTAGGCTGGGTTAATACAAATATGCTTTAGTGGGACTACTCTCATGTTTGTTTGTTTTCCAAATTATTTTAAGAGTTTGTATTTAAAGTATTTGAGTGTTAGGTATCTAAGAATTTAAAGACTTAAGATTTTAATGCTTTTACTTTTTTTGAAAGTTGTGTAATACTGAAAAGAATGACAGAATTCAGGTTTTAGCCTCCCACTGATTTGGACAATTGTTTTAATTTTTTTAAAAAATCAAAGAAGTAACAGTAGAAAATGGGACTTTACTGCTTCATAACTTCTAAAATTGAGATCTTAAACACCCTTTAAAGACTTGATTTCTTTGAAGACTGACTAGGTAGACTAAGAAAAGCAAAATATTCTTAAATTGTCTTTAAAAATCTATCTTAAACTAAAAATCCCTGGAAATGTTTTAATAAGTAGTTGGGGATAAACAAGAGTAATAGAGTAAGTTACTTGGGAGACCCCCCAGGAAACACAGCTGTCATTCCTCTACCATACCACAGGATGTCATCATCACACCATGAATAACTGCTATGCTTTTAACCTTTTATAACACCCAAGGTGAAGTAAATTTTTTTGAACAAGGTTCCAGTCAAGACCTTCTAGCTAGATTTATCAAATCCCAAACTTAACCACTATGAAGGAGTATACTGAAACTGTCAAATTATTTTTAAAGTTTCAGAATAAATAACCACTCAGTCATTTCCAAATGAATAGAAACACATTTAAAGTCAATTATCTGCCTTTTCACATTTCCAAAGAACTATACATACTGCATATTATAGATAATTATTCCGTCTTTTCTAAAATGTGAAAATATTCTAACTGCTAATTGCTATATTATGAAGAACTAGAAAAAAATGGGTTCAAGGATCTTTGGGGTAATTCTCAGAGGATTATAATGTAATTTATGTTTTTAAAAGACCCAATATAATGCATTGAGTCAACAATACTAAAAAACTTGAGATTTATGTTGCCAAACTGAGTTCACTGTGTTTTTACTCTAAAATAGTAACTTGTTAAACCTAAATCAAAGAATTGAATTCTGACCTGCAATTACTTAATGCCTTAAATTCCAAAAGTGTGTGTGTAAGATGGAATGGAGAAAAATCAGTAACCTAATGCAGCTTCTTTTAATCATTTCTAAACCGTTGAATTTTTTAAAAGTAATTTGAACTCAGAGTATTAAACAGGAGACTGCCACTGCAGAATCTTAGGATTTTGGCCTTCTGTTCTTTCCTCGAATTATCAGAGATGTAAAAAGTAACTGTTAACTTTTAAAAATCACTTAGTATTTCGTTTTTAAATTGAAGAAAATAATTTCAAAAACTTCCCCAACTGCTATTTGAGGACATAATTAAAAATTGTGTAAGATAAATTGTAGATGATTATTTGAGATATTAAATCACATGCAGTCCCTTGTATTTACCATCACAAGCAATGCAATAGCAACTCTAGTTAATATGGAGTGCTCCAGGATGCACAGGACACAGGGCATCTGTGGGGGAAAGTGTTTAAAAGTACACGTAGGGGAACAGAAGACAAACTGTACATCACCTATAAGGCTGTTAATGTCCCTTTGATGGGCAAAAGTTCACTGAAGGAAAAAAAACAAACACCCCATGTCCTCTTGAAACATGGGCCACAGACTTCAGATACCTGCTATATACCAAAATGTAAACAATGGTTTCAGTGTTTTTGAGTGAGTTAATTTTCTCTTTAATATTTTACAAATTATTCACAATAAACATAAATTAACGATATAATGGGAAAGGTTTTCTAAGTAATTCAAGCTCTACAAATCCTTCCTAGAGTAGTACTAAAAAGACAGCATTTTTATTTTTGGATTTGAAGGGCAAATCTTTAGACAACCCAGAAATCCTAAGATTCAGATTTGCCTCAAATATGTATTTCCCATGGCTTTGAATTCCCATGGTTTTGAATTCTTTCAAAACCATCAAATTCCAGAATTAAGGAAAGGCTTTATAGTAGACCATTAATTTATCACAAACTATAAAAGTGGATGAATATTTATAACCTTTATGTATTCTTTTAATTTCTCGTTCTCTGCTTCCTTTTTGTGAATTTGAAGCTGTAGTCGTTCGTGAACTACTTTAACTGATTGTGAAAAACGGTTGGCTTTCAAAGCATTTTCCTAAAACACAAAAATAAACCAAAAAAATGTTATTTAATATATTTCTCTACAATCTTTAACTTTACCTGTATTTAGACATGATCTAAAAAGCTGATAAAATGCAAAATAATACGTTACATAAACCATGACACCTCCCCCCATTACATGTGTATTTTATATAAAGCTATTTGGGACGTTTTCTCCTCCCTCCTTTTATTGAATGGCTTCTGATAATTATCTCCTTTAAAAAACTGCCATCTATGTTCCTAAGTAAAATTACAGGTAGGTGTAAAACACTCTACAATATAAATTTACACATACAGTGGTGCCTCGGTTTTCAACCATCTCCGCTGACAAACATCTGGTTTAGGAACGCCGTAAACCTGGAAGTGAATGCTTCAGGTTTCGAACCCGCCTCAGAAGCTGAACAGGCCAGGCGGTTCCTGCTGAGGGCAAGATCCTGAGGCCCAGCTGTCGGCTATGATCCCTCAGGTTTGAACGTTTCAGAACCTGAATGGTCTCCGGGACGGGTCACATTCGAAAGCCGAGGGACCGCTGTAGTTCCTAACATGCAGTGACTTAAGCCAACTACCCTGACAGAACCATCACAAAATTCTAAAAGAAAAAACTTTTAAAAGTTAAGATGTTCTATTTGTAAATAAAACTCAAAATATCCAAATAATCTAAAAACCTTTTTGTATCTATTTCTGAGGATATGGGAGTCAGGATGGAAAGGGAAAGGAGTCAATATTAAGAAAATAAATGAATTAAGCTCAAAATCTGCTTACCTTTTCATTCTGAAACAAACAAGAAAGCTCTTGGATATAGGTCTCCTTTTCCAGTACCTTCTTCTTAAGATCCTTCAGCAAATATAATGTTAGAGTTAGGAATATCATAGTTTAAATAAGGTTGGCTAATTTTATAAAGCCAAGCAGCATACAAACAAAAATGTCAGGAGAACAGACACAAAGTATAAAAAGACTTACAGTATTTTCACTTTCGCTATCACTTAGCTCCTCTAATATGCTGGATAAACTGTCACCTATCTGTGAAAAAAATGCTATAAATCAGTGTTCACAAACTATATTTCACTATATAAAAAAGTAGAAAGTGGAATAAGCATCAATTAAGAAATTAACATGAACAACTACAACACACAGTGCAGATTTTTAAAAATGTGAACATCAAAAGAATTTTTGCCTAAATGTTCCAAATCATGTTGTTGTTTTTTCACAATTCATGAAATTAGTCAATTTACTAAATTTTCTCTAAATAATGCCTCAGAAAATACAAGCCAATGATGTAAAAATCACAAAAATCTTATACACAGAGGAAGCTCACTGTGCTGTTAATAAATAGGCAAAAATTATAAACAACCTAATTCTACCAATAAGAATTATTTTTAATTATGGTAAACCAGTAACAGAATTCTATGCAGACATCTGAAATGAGAACACAGAAAAATGTTTATTCACTTGAGTCTTATACTTCTGCTTGAGAATGTGGGAAAGCTATGGATTCCTTTCACCTCAAGCACATACACATGTACATGTAATGGAAACTGTATACACAGCTTCAGAGGGTTCATGGACTTTCGTGAAACCCAGTCATAAGCTCTCTAAGGTCACACAGTGGAATTGCTTGGTGCACATGTTTTCATTTCTCTGGGTATATACAACTTACAAATGAGTGTTCACAGCAGCTTTATTCATGACAGCCAAAATGTAGAAGCAACTCAAATAGCCATCAACTGAGGAATGGATAAATAGAATTGGTATACTCACACAACAAAATATTATTTAGCAATAAAGAGGAATGAAGCACTGATACATGCTCCAACATGGATGAAACTTGAAAACAGTATTAAATGAAAGAAGGCAGTTATGAACAGCCACATATTAAATGATTGCATTTATATGAAATGTCCAGAATCGACACATCCATAAAGACAGAATGTAGATAACAGTCTAAGCGAGGGGTGTGTGGGGATGGGAGGTAAACTTCTAAAGGGCACGGAGTTTATTTTTATAGTGATGAAATGCTCAAAAACTGATCGTGGTGACAGCTACACAGTTCTGTGAATATACTAAAAGTCACTGAGCTGTACACTTTAAATGGGTGAATTGTATGGTATGTGAATTATATCACAATAAAAGTGTTATCAAATACATGAATATATAAATATAATGTATATAAGAGCTTAAATTCTATGAGTATTGTAATCAGCTGAAATGAATTATAACATTATAACAATTAAAGTTTTTGAGATAATGAAAATATATTTCTATAAAAATATGCTGCTCTCACATAGAACTATTTATGAAACATTAAAAGTAGGGGTTAGTTTAATGACTGCCATTTCAAACAAAAAGTCAAGAGTTATTTCCATTTCAAATATACCGATATTTTAATTTCTACAGTTTGAAAATAATATAGGCTTCTAGTGAGAAATATCTCTATTAAATTAGTGGTTAACGTTCCTTACTTGTTGGTATTCTGTCTTTCCAAGAAGGTGTTCTAAAGTTTGTTTTGCACGCTTAAAAGTATCTAATTCTTTTGTTAAGATTTCCTTCTGTTTAAAAATCTTCTTCAAATTGGATGCAGAAAGATTAGCCTGACAAAATATAAGAAACACACACATAATTAAGACATAATACTAAAACACTCTAAAATATAATGTATCTACTATCAAAGAATACATTTTTCCTATTAACAAAATCATTCTTTTGTATACACTAATAGTAAATGTTGACAAGTTTATTAATAGTAACAGAATCTGTTACGTAGTACATTAAAGTAAAATGAAATCAAAATAAGAGCTTAAACCCTAAAGTTTTTCAGGCATTTATTTCGATAAAACTAATAGAATACAATCTATTTTTTGTCCCTAACTCAAACTTTAGTACACTGAAATTTTACAGCTTTCTATTCCACAAAACATAACAGAAAATTGATATAGTTCATTTTTCAGAATATTTTGGTTTTAAATTCAATCTTGAGAAAGGTTGACTCACTACATCAATTCCAGGTAAGTCAAGCACGAAGGTTACAGTTTCTAGCTTAGCCTCTTAGCAAGTGCATGCCAGAGACAATCTCTGAGGAAAAGAATTGTGGAATAAAGAACACTGGTAAGCCTGCGTTTTTTATATCAAATACCAGTATGTGAGCATAACTACTTTAAGATATGAGACCTTAGCTAGTACAATCTGAGTATTATGCTAGCTTCTCATTTTATTAGATGTTCACAAGTACTTACATTTTCAAAACTAATTTCTTCAATGGTGTCCTTAAATAACAGTAAAAGTGATTCTACAGAATAGGTTGCCAACTCGGCTTCCTTAAATGTTGCTTCCAACTCAGTCTTTTCATTTAGGATGTCCTGCTTTAGACTAATTAGATAGGCACAAACAAAGTTTAAGTTAAATCTGTCCCATAAACAAAGCATATTTTTATGAATATATAGCATAGCTCACCGAAATATTACAGTTCCATAAATTGCTCTGCAAAATGTAACAGTAAATTTGTCCCTGAAAATGTAATAAATTTTTCTATATTTCCATATTTTTCTACATATACTATAAACAGATAGTTTTAAAATGATAAAATATATAAAACACAAAGACCACCAACAGCAAAGTTTTTGCTGTGCCATTTGATAATTACTTAACATCCCTTTTCTAGTCTGTAAAACAATTATTGGAAGTGTTTGTCTTTTTCCATCCCTTCCTTCTCCCTTACTCCAAACACAAAAGATCTCTGTCTAGACCTTATACCCAAACCCTTTCTTGAAACATATTGTTCATCACAAAAAATTTCCCAAGAAGAATGAATCTAAATAAGTAGAAAAGAAAAACTAAAGCTCTCTAGATATCTAAAAATCCTTCACATTTGGCTTCATAATAATTATGATCCAGAACAAAACTGATAATATTAGCCCTTTTCATTATGTTTAACCTAGACACTACTGTGTATCACTCTAATTTTTCTTGGGGGGGGGCACATTTTTACATCCTGAAATTAGGATGCTTCTTACAATCTTTGTCACTCAGGAGGAAGTCCTAAGCTGTCTATCCTGCACATGCCCCAAACTTACAGAATGAGCGTCCAATGCTTTGCTGAATATCCCAGAGATGGGGTGTAACACTTGTTTAACCCCTAGGAATGAAGGGTCATGGAAAGGGGTTGAGGGAGCTGGTCAAGTAGGAATGTTTAGCAACATTCCCAAAGCAAGACTCCAATGTAGGCCTGCTGCATATTGTAATTAAGAGTCCAATAGTAAGAAATTTTATTTCAGTTAAAGATGCTCCTAAAAAATGAGGTATCACCCGTAATCTTAATTAGCAAGTGCAACTCTTAAGTCAAAGAGTGACTCAGAAGTGTTGGATTTTATTTATAAATAAAATCCCAAGTTTTTCTTTAATTGGCAGCTTTTTTCTTTCTTTATGGAACATATACCATCAGCATTTGATGGCATCTTATGTCAAAAAGTAGACTGTGTTCAGCCCAACTGGCATGGCTCAATGGTTGAGTGTCGACCTATGAACCAGGAGGTCAAGGTTCAATTCCCTGTCAGGGCAAATGCCCAGGTTTCGGGTCGATCCCCAGTAGGGGGCATGGTAACTAGTCAATGACTCTCTCTCATCATTCATGTTTCTATCTCTCTCTCGCTCTCCCTCTCCCTCTCCTCCTCTCTCTGAAGTCAATAAAAAATATATATATTTTTAAAACTAGATTGTGTTCTTAAGCACCACTGGCTTGAAGTGATGGGCCTAAGAAGATGCTGGCTATGAATGACAATTGCCCATTATTAAAAACCATGGGCAGAAAGTCAAGAGTGATTATATATGACAGAACACTTTCATTTATAACAAGCTAAACTAGAAGCTGGACTATATCATCCATATTAACAATATGGTATTTTAAGGCTGTCATTTTGAGCAATGAGTTACATAAATAACAAGTATATTCTCCATTCTAAAAAGCAAAGTATGGCAGGTATTTGTTAAATAGTAATATACCAAGTGACAGTGAATTGGTACTCATTAACTATATTTCCATATTCCATAATTTAATCTTCATTTACCTTAGTTAAAACACCTTATACTTTACAAATTCTTAATAGATAAGGTTTTCATTTTTAATTTCGTTCATTGAAATTCCAAAAAACTAGCCAAATTCTGCTAAATGAGTATACTGTAATCAGATTAAATAAATGTTAACTACTAGACTTGAAGATATTCTTGAAAGAATGCTGTATTTGATTCAAATAATTTAAAATATGGGCATCACATGAAACCCTAAAATCAGAAATCCTTCATTGTTAAGAATACCAGCTGAGGTGACTTTCACTGGCATGCTTTGGTAAATGTTCTTTCTCTCGTCTACTTTTCAAATGGGAAAACAGTTCTTCTGAATGACTTCCATCATTTGCAGGCTTCTCCATAAATTCGGTCAATGAATTCATAGGGGTCTCTTCCACAACAATTTCTCCACATATGCTGAAAGTTAGAAAATATTTTAGTTATTAAACATCATTTCACTTGATTCTTTTTTTATGTCATTACCCTATAATAAAAATCTAAAGATGTGTAAAAGAATAATACTTCACAGAAGAACTGAAATGCAATGAATAGGGACTTTATCTGCTATACACTGTGATACTAATTCAAAATAGTATCAAAATTGCAGAGCACAACCATTCAACAATTGCCAATGTCCATATACAGTTTCCAAAATGCCCACTATTTTCTATATAATCACAGAATGTAAAAACTTTTAGTAATCTATTTCTTAAAGTATTATATCATAACCCAGTCGGACTAGGGAATGGATATAAAAACATGGGTTAACAATGATGCCAAGTTTTAATAAATCCATCCAATAGGAAATATGTTATTTATGCCTAGAACAGTAAATTTTAACATACTTTTGAAAGTATTTGACAATTAATAGCTACAAAAAAGATAAGTTATTCCTTTGAAAGTAGACCTTTCAAATTAAATTCACTTACTACTATTTCCCAGCTCAATCCAGGATAATCTTTGGTGATAATGAACAGAGAGATGGCATTACTTCTAAGTTTTACTAATCTAATTGTTTTCACTCAAACTTGGAGCTGCCATTTTTTAAATGTGAATATTTATGAATTTCTTTAAAACTGTTCCAGTTTAAGTAATGCATTGGTACTTCAGCAATCATTAAGGCTGTGTTTTCACAACTCTAATACATAGTAAGTAATGTATCTTCTTGACTTCATTTTATGTTTATTCAAAATCAAATGTTACATTTAAGGTTTTCTGCATTTTTTTCCAGAGATAGTTAGCTCTCTGTAATTTATTTTTATATCTGGGTTATAAAATACATATGTTCAAGAATTTTCAATACTTCAGGTAAACATAAAATTACAGGTTGAGAGTTATCCACAACATTTTATTACCAATTCATAAACTTTCCAAAGTGTCTGTAAAAAAAATCTATTTTTGTCTGAAGATTCCATATACCACAGAGGCAAATATTTAGGATATAGGCCAATGAAAAGCATGCTCATATTTTGGAAATACCAGCAACTCATATCCAAATGGAACTGCAGAATAACCTACAGATAGTCTAAGATGATCGCCTCGAATGCTGCAAACATGCAACATCCGTTATTAGGGAATAACAATATTTGAACCATCTATAGTCTAGAAGAATTAAAAATAAACAGATACACAGACCTATGGGTGAAGAAGAACATGCAGTGATAAATCACTGCAATCAAGAAAATGACCATCTACGGATTTGTTTAAAATGGCAATAACTACCCCACTCAGAGAGGAACTGGTATTTATCTTTCAGACATTCACTTAATATTTAAATATTTGTTTCTCTGTACACTAGAATCTCAAGAAAGAATGTCTTGTTTGTATTTGGATCCTCAGCACCTATAAGCCTTGTAAAAGTTAAGCGATAATTCAGGGAGAGGATCCAAGGCTCGGAGCAGTTAATGATCAGGATGAACAAAGACTTTACTTACTCACCCCTTGATTCATATTTTGGGGGATCATTAAAAGAAAAATGGTTCCCACCTTTGGAGTAAAATTTTAAAAAATCAATGTGAGGGTATAGCGATCTTCAATTTATAGAAAATATTTTATGAGATAAGATTCAATTTGGTGTATTTTAAATGAGTTCTTACTCATTAGCTTTGTGGGCTACTGACACCTACTTATACAATTTTTTTAAAAGTTTTATCGCAAGATAAAATCATACAACATTTTTTTGCTTCATCACCTATAGAAGTAATGATGTCTTATTTTATAGGGTAAACAAATAAAATTAAAACACTGTAAAAATAGGAATTTTAGAATGACTTTAGCCCAACATTCTAAAAGGCTATCTTCATTACTGATTCCTCAAAACGTGAAATAGAGAACTGTATAAATCAAGTTTCAGATATTTCCACAGAAATAATCTAGAAGTATTTTCCAGGATAAAAATTACTCAGAGGTTCCAAGGCACTGCTCTATTTTGTGTTGTGACAATACTATAACCAAAAACATATGTGTGCTGAACAACAATGTAGTGATTTTCCTTAGCATAAAAAGTCCTACCTTCATAAAAAAAATGCTATCATTTTAGTGGACCAAATGTATTCTTGTATGGAAAAGCAGATGTTTCAAGAGAAAATGTTTTCAATTATGTAGAATATACTGCCAATTGACAAATGTATAAATAATACTTTTGTACAACTTGCTAGTGGTGAAAAAAAGACACATATTCTGCATACATACCTAATGATCAAATAAATCCCTGAAGATTAGTAATTTTGAAATATTTTTCATGTTTAAAGAATTAAATTTCCTATACAGAGATGACTTTACCAGTCCCCTACCAAAAATGCATGTTCTTAAAGCTTTTTCCAGGAGTGGTCATGGGTTTATGCTGATCCAGCTACACTCACTGAACTATGTTCCATTTTGGCCAACACCAAGTATTTGAGGGATGGCTGTTCAGGGACTGTGATGCTGGCCATGGTCAGAGAAAAGACAGATCACGGTCCATGACCTTCCTTAACACCTAGATTGTTCTAAGTAAACTAACCATCTGTAGACAAACATGCATTTAAAACTAATCTCTCATGAGAAAAGCTTATTAATCTTGTAGATTTTTTTCTTTTTTTCTTCTTTTTGCCAAACATTAATTCTTGGAAAATTAGCTCCCATTGGCTTCAAACAAAAGTGCACAAAGCTTCTACAGAAAAATCTGCTATGAAAAATTCAGCAAGGAACACAAAATAGATATAGGAATGCTGTTCCTTCTTCTCACTATTCTAGACACTAGTCAAAAGTTTACTAGAGAAGTAATTGTATGGCGTTTTAGACTCCATAATGAAAAAAATGTAAAAGAAATTTGAAAATAGGCAAAGAGTAAAAAATAACCAGAAGTGGAAAACTGACCTAATGAATAAAAGCTACCATAAATGGAAAAAACATTTTCTGGTACAGAGAGTTTAACTTAGATACAGTCATGCACCAATTAATGATGGGGATATGTTCTGAGAAATGCATTTTTAGGCAATTTCATTGTGTGTGAACATCAAGTGCATTTACAAAACCTGGATGGTATAGCCTACTATACACCTAGGCTATATGGTATAGCCTATTGCTCCTAGGCCACAAGCCTGTACATGTTACTTACAAAACAACACGAAATTATATCATGCACAGAGAAATGATGCAATCAAAAAACATGGTAAACAGATATATGAGGCAGCCATAGGCATAGTATGGCACACTGTTTTACAGCAATTCTTTTTTTATTTATAAAGAGTACACTTTAAAATAATGAAAAGTGTAGTGCAATGAATATATAAACCAGTAACATAGTCATTTATCATTATCAAGTATTATATACTGTACATAATTGCATGTGCTATACTTTTATGTGACTGGCAGCAGAGTAGGTTGGTTTCACCAGCATCATCACAAACACATGAGTAGTGTTGTGCTCTGACATTAGGATGACTATGACATCACTAGGTGATAAAGTATTTTCAGCTCCATTATAATCTTATGAGATCATCTTTGTATATGGGGTTCAATGTTGACTGTTATTATTCGGAGCATGGCTGTAAATAATTAGCTAATTCCTGTGTCCAATGAATAAGGGAATTTAAATATAAAAGAGTTGCAGATTACATAATATAAGGAAAAAAGCTGGCAGCAATAGTGACAGATTGGTAAATATTGGATTCGTACTTCAAGGCCCAGTCCCTTCTCTTTCCCAAAATATCCCCCTGACTGCTCCAGACCACCAACAATCCTAAACATCTAATAGTATTTTCAGGATAATACAGTTTATAATTTAATTGCTCCATTAATGTTTCTATTTTTGGGTTTTTTTAACTTGCTATACTAAATCTATAGGAGCAAATATCATACCCATCACCCTCTGTCCTCAAAAATTACATAACACAGTGAAGAGCATAGGTTAGGTTCTAACATATGTTAGGGTGATCAAATAATGTATTATTCAAACTAGGACACATTTGAAAAGAACGGGGCCCCACATAAAATCCAATTATCCAGTAGAGGACTGGCCCAAAGTTGTTCAGGACATTGTCTAATCCCAAGTAAAGTCGGCATCCTGTACCAGATAAACATAAAGCATTTTCCATCCCTTCACCATGAAGACGTCATTTATTAATAGAGCACTGACTGACTTTATACATATCATCTCACAAAAATCCTTACCAGGTTGCTATTAATATCCTAATGCTACAGATAAAAAAAAAAAAAACACATCAAGTTTTAGAAAAGTTAAATAGCTTGCCCAAGATACAAATTAGGAAGTGGTAGAACTCAGTTTTGAACCAAAAGGCAGAAGATACTAAAATATAAGAATCTACACAGCTGAAAATAACATACATACAAATTTGCCTTAATCCAGTCAGGTTTCAATAACACTATTATAAATTCAGTTTATATTAAAAAGTAATGTTCTTGAGGGAACATGAGTTACAAGAGCAGTGGCAAAAGATGAAACTGGACAGTAACTGAAAACAGTAACTGTATGCCAAACTCAAGAGCTTGAACTTTTTCCTAAAGGTTAAGACAGACCGTCAAATAATTTTAAGCAGGGGAATAACATATCAGAAGTACGTCTTTAAAAGACAAATCCAGAGTTATTTTGGAGAATGGACTTAGGCATATGGAAGGGAGGAGAGTAGAAGCAGCAAAACTGGTTATTACGGTTTCAGAGAGATGAAATTTCGACATTCTTTTCCTATAAAAGTTTTTGAAGAAATCAAAAGTTGTTTCCACTGATGATAAAACATGAAGAACAATGAAGGAATCAGAGTTAGAATGCCAGAATAGCAAGAGGTCAGTACAGAAAGACGTGATCAAATGTAACAGCTCATTTACCCATAACCATCTGAATCGATTGCTCCGCATATAAGTTCCAGAAAATGATAGCTTATCCCTTTATGGACCCAAATTAACTTAGACCAGATGGAAGAAAATCTTTTAAGAGTAATTTATTTCTTCCTTTTCAAACAGAGTACAGGTAGACTGAATGTAATCTAAACATTCCTTGATGACTCAGATGCAGCACGTTGAGCGAGACTCATCAGTTCTTAGTCCTTATGAGCCACGTGACATGGGCAACCCTTAGTCGCAATGGGCCTTGGTCTTCTATGAAATGAGACTAACCTTTGCCAGCCAAAGCTGTGGTGAGGTTCGAACAAAATCAAGTAGAAGCACTTACAGGGGAAGTTTTTTTGTGTTTGTTTTATTTAGGGCCTCTTTGGCTCACTCTGTTGGGGGTGCTTTCCCATCCAATCTTCCCTTTAAAGTTTTTCATCTTTTTTTTTTTTTAAATAATCATCCTGAGTCAATAGCCATTCCTGAAATTACTTGCGTGCCTGAATTATCTGTATAGGACCAACTCTATCTTTATAACAATTTTTGAGACCTAGCCTTTGCAGAATTATTACAAATCATCTTCAACGTAGTCATAAACAGGCTGAGTACTACTAAACCAGAGCGCAGGGGGAAACAATTACTGACTTGCAACAGAACTGTGCTCAGTGGGCAGGTGGTATGTCAACCGCATTGCTTTACCCAGCTTCTTGGGTCTCATTCATTTGTACAGAGCAAGCACAGTGATTAATAATAATATAAACAAAGCCATTTTCTCATACCTTTGGGTGTTTGGGATACAAATACCATATTATTAATACACATCAATGGCAAAATCAGAGGAAAAAGAGAAACAAAAAAATGGACACCTAGTTGTTAAAGAACTACAAACATGACCACGGCACTTTTATTGTAAGCACAAGGAAATCAAGCTAATTTTTAAAAGCAAACAGGCTTTCTGCGTTTTGTTTCTCTAACCACAACTAACCCAGAGGTGCTTAAAACGACTCCAAGGACTTCACGCATTCAAAAACACCTGAAACCTTACAATGCACGAGGTTTTGGAAAACACTGTCTCCTCAACAGACCTCATTCCCAGCACCAGCCACCGTCCGGTTTCTCAGTCAACAAGCAGCACCACTCACTAACCACCTATACTCAACACCTGGCACTGGTTTAATCTCTTTCATTACCACCACTCCAAGGTGCCCATTACTGCCCTCATTCTACATAAGAGGGAACTGAAGCAGGGGCGGTTAAATGACCTGGCCGAGGCCACACACTTGAAGGGGTTTCCCGGGGGCTGGAACCCAGGACCCTGGAGAAGGAATTATGTCCAGAGGCTTCCGGACTGTTCTGCGCTTACGGAGCCCCGGGCCTACTGGTCTACAGGGTCACACGGTGGGTGCTTAGAAGCGAGCCGGGCGACTAAGAGCACCGGGTCGTCAAGAAACCCCGCCGAGCCCGCCGCCACGCCAGGGCTTCCTTCCGAAGGCCACCTCGGCTGAAGCCGCGCAGCTGTCCCAGCGACTGCACCCTTCCTGGGAGAACGGGCCTCGCCGCCTTTGCCCAGCCCAGGCAGCCAGTCTCGGGGGGGCGGTGGGCACGAGGGGGCTGAGACCCAGGCCTGGGTGAACGCGACGGTCACCCACCGCCCACCAACCACTGCCGCGGGCCGGGGAAACTGCCCAACGGCCTTCCAGACCCCAGCTTCCCTCTCCCCGAGGCGCGCCTACGCCCCCGCCACTGCGTCAGCACGTCGCCGTGACGTCAGCCCGCCCCGCTAGGAAAGGCGTCCGAGGGAGCCGGCCCGCGAACGTGAGTGATTCCCCGCCAGCGTACCTGTGCTCTCCAGCCCTGGAGCAGCCAGGAGGGAGCGGGTCGCAGGGGCAGTGCAGTGGCTGAAAGCTAGGAAGGAAGCGAAGGGACCTGAGAAGAATCGGGCGAATTCCCAGAACCGCTGGCAGCGGAACTGTGCTCGCTCAGACGCAGTGGGACCAAGGCGGAGCTAGTAACCAGCAAGCGGCTTCTCTGGCAACCGTCGCGACGCCCCGCC